TGCAGACACTGGAGTCTTGTAATAAGCAGATTCAAATTAATACAGTACCCCGTGGCTCATTAAAGGGATCCTCAGCATAAAAACGACATTTCTAAAGAAATGACCAGTTCCCACCTTTCTCGTTGGTCCCGAGTAGCATCCGTGAATAGTCTCACTGATTTCTAAACCACCAAGTTTTCAAATAAAATGATTTTAAACAAGTGCTATGCTCTGCCTTATGAAATACCAAGCTACTCCAGATTATATACATTTTTACAACAGCTTAAATGGTGTGTGTGTGCTTTGTGCTCTTCAGGTTCTTGACCCTTGCTGCCTGAAGTCAGTCAGATCTGAAACGATGTGACTGGGGTCGAATATCAGCGTGTGTAAATTTTTTTTAAGTGGGGAGATTAAAAGTCCTCTTTGATTGATGAGCTTTCGTAGCATTGATGGAAAACTTGCATTTCATCTATCAAAAAGAAGAGTTGTTGCCTTTTCCCAGTATTTTTTTCCTACCCGTTACTTTTTTGCTGGTTGGAAAGGCTACCCCTCTTATTTCAGGCTTAATTTTCAAGAATATATTGTTATTGATCTTATTTTTTTGTTAGATTTTGCAAAAAATTGATATTTGTGGAATGCAAAAGTAGGTCTCTTTTTTTCTTAGAGAGTGACAAGAAAACTGAATTGATACAGGAATCTGTACGCAGCAGGGCACTGAGTTATCAATTCTTAATGTTGCCCAGACCACACAAAATTGAACTGCTGTTCGAAAGAATTTTTCACGTACTTCATCCTAGATCGCAGTATCGAATCATTTAGGTTTGCACTTTTATTCATGATATTCATGAAGGCTCAAATCACACAGTATCCTGATGGTTGTGCTACAGAAGACAGCATCCCACTGCTGTTACATTGTTTAGGATGGGTATGACATCAGCTTCCCTAACATCTTCAATTTTATCGGAATTCCAGGATGATAGAAAATTGTATTTTCCTTTAAGGTACAGATGGCTGCTTATATTCTGAGCTATTTTACGTGAAAACAAAGCCAGAAGGAATTTACTCGTTCATTCATACCCTGCCGCAGTCTTGTTACAGACACAAGTGATGAGCAGGTGCGCGGTAGATGGAAAGATGGTAAATGCTTTTTTTGTTGTCTTTTGCTTAGAATACAACGTGCGACTTGGCATTAATGGTAGAGAGGAGCATTTGCAGATCAGTGTTGCCTCTAGGCGTGCGTAAAAATCTTTTAGCTCCATCTAGTGCTCACAGGCTGAATTTTTAAATACCTCGAGCAAGACCTATGGGCAGACCAAGATCGTCTGTAACCTCTCTGCTCCCTCTCGATGGCACCCAACTCTGCGGTATTTCCCAACCTTGCATGAATTCCTAGTGAAAGCAGAGCCTGGTCTTTGTTTGTCTACATGAGAAATTCACCTGCATTTCTCTGACATGATGGACAGCTGCTCAGAGTAAATTCCTGCAGCGAGTGTTTGGTGTTGTCTGCGGACCCTCAGCAGTTTGTACTGTGTGTACAGTAGGTAGCCAAACAGCCAAAAGCCTAACTGCATTTTCAAGTACTACACTAATAGATGACGACAGCACTGGCCTTTGTACTTGTCTCTGTACGTGGTCCTGTTTCCCCAGTAGTCCCATAACTAGGGAGGGAGGAAGGAGTTATCGTGAAATTAGTTTTCATATTGTCATACAGCTCTCTTAAGTCATTTACTGTAGCTAAGTGTCATGCGTATATCTTCAATATTCGCATAGGAAAATGAGCATTTCCGTGAAAGTTAATAAGAATTCACATTCCGGGAAGAAATTGTTGGTAAATTCAGTTCTCAAAAGTTTTCTTTTCCAAGAAAAATCCGGGTGGTGGAGAGCGGGATTCCCTTCAAAAATATATAGCCAAGACAGTCGTACAAAGAAACCTGTGGCTGTAGGAGATGGAGAGGTGAGAATTTAGCCCAAATATCAATGTCAGTCAAGAAGCCGGAATAAAAACTGAGTTTTCACCCGGTGGTACAAAGCGTAATGTTCCTGCCAGCGTTGGAGGGGACTTTGTTTTGCCGGTATGGGCACCGTAGCTTCACACTGTGGCCCTGCAAGTCGTGGCATTTCTAGCGTGCCCACTGAATTGTTTGGCCTACACGTGGTTTTTAACGTACAGATGCTTTAATACTTAAAACCTGTAGAAATACGGTCCCTTAGAGTGGGTAGTTCTGTCTATCCCGGCGTAGTTTTACAGTGCAGGAGGTTTTAGTGACGATCTGATCGCATCCTCCTCCGCGCAGTGTGCTGCTCTAAGCGCGCTCCTGCCCTCAGCGCGGTGGTCGGGAGGCAGCCTCACCCTGCCAGGCTTGCACAGGAGTGGCAGGCGCTCAGCACCTCCGTCCTTCCCTGTGTGGTGTTGAGGAGAGGCTTTGCTTTAGGAGCTGAGACTCCATGAGCGATCAGTAAATCTCTACGGCCCGCCACGCTGTTTCCTGCATCGGTCCCCGAAATCTGCCTCTCTTGAAACGCCGGTGTGGAATTACCACTGTAGGGGACTGACGCATGGCTAGTGTGGCTATTTAGAGGTCGTTCCTTTATGTTTGTATTTCAACTACTAATTTCACTCTAAATCCCTCATTTTTTTCTACAGTTAGCATGTGCTTCTGCTGCTTGTAGCCAAACTCTTCCTTCCTACTCTTCCTGTCGCCGGGTTTCTCTCCCCGCGCTGTCTCTGGCGGTCTGTCCGACTGCCAGCGCCGCGGGGCAGCGGGCGTGTTTGGCGTGGCACGGGGTGGGGGTTCCTGAACGCCCCGGGACAGGCCGATCCCAGCACGAGGCACGCCGAGTTGGGGCTGGAGCCGTAGTGGCCGTGTCCTGAACGTGTCAACACGGCTTACACGTGTGGCTGTGTGACCAGATGCACCCATCGTATGATCCGAGTCGTTTGCCGCACTCGCTGTCTTGATACAGCAAATCGAGATGGGAGCTGCCTGCAAAAGCCTATCCCCACTTTCTTAGTTTAAAAAAAAAAAATCACTTTTTTGCCTAGTCTTATCTTTACAAAGCTTTCTGTCGTAGGAGATCCTGCACTCTTCTCTACACTTTTGTATCCTCTTCTTATAGTAATAAAAATTTGTAGTTTTATTATGGTAAAATAATCCTTTTGTTATCCCTCTGCTTAAGCTTTGGTAGCAGGTAGGACAGTAAAAGGAGGCTGGGTCTTTTACAAGCACGTTGGCTGCGTATCTAAGCTGCTCCCGGCGAATACACAGGTTTGAAGGTCCCTTAGGGTAAATCTGTGATACGACAGAAGTCTTCACACCTTTTCTTTTGAGGCCAGCATGTTAGGAAAGCTATTTTGGAGAACAGAAGACTTAGCCAGAATATCAGCAGGCAAACAAACCCTCTTTCTGTAGAGGTGCTGAGCATCCAGCAGTGCTTGTGGTGGGTAGCTTTAAACGCCTTCCAGTAAGTAAGGTCTGTTTGTTTTCAGAGGAATCCTGTAAATATGTGAGTGCTGCTACTTGTGGAGCTGCAGGTTTATCTAAAATCAGAAGTCATTCTTGCATGTGGGAGAGCGTAAGATCTGTTCAGCAGTCGTATTCAAAATCTAGATCTTTGGAAAAAGACTTTTTGTTTCAAACCTAACCAAGGAATTTTTAAATATGGAGCTGTCTTTGCAGAGAAGGCTGTTTCCAACGAGCACCTTCAGTTTGAACCCCAGTACGTTAGGGCACCTGTCACTTAGGAGCCACGATGTCATCGCAGCTTTGCTAGACCTGTGGCAGTATTAGGTGCAAATCAGCATCGTTTTCTTCCTTCTTAGATCTCTAAGACCTGAAAGAGAAACAAGGAGAGAGAATCCGCCATTTATTACTGTCACTGTCTTCTCTGCCTTATGGCTTCCGAATTAGAGCTTTTTTCCCCCCAAACAGAACCACTGAGTTGTATTAATTACAGACATATTATTAATACGAGAGCTTTTCTCACTCTTTCAGAAACTTGGGAATGACACAACTCCCAGAGAGTCTTTTGACACGGCGATGAGCTCAGAACGACTGGATGGAGGTGGTACAGGTACAGTCCGAGTTTCCTGCTGTAAACTCTTGGTACAAAACGCCTAACCTCAAAAATCTCACTTCCCTCCCCAGACTGTGTGCCTGCCGTTGCTTCAGCAAAATGCGAGCTTGCACTACGTGGAAAGGTTTCGAGACAAGCTCCCTTTTTGCGCTGCGTTGGGCAGCACTTCGCGTCAAGTCAGCTCTAGGGGCGAGCTGGCGGCTCAGCTTTGACTCTTGCGGTCCACGTTGCGCGGGAGGGGGAGTACTTTGGTGCACGTGCCTGCGGGGGATCAGCAAAGGTGAAGCCGAGCCCAGGAGCCAGCAAAAACCTCTTCACACGAAGAAGTGAAACTCCTGACTATATCTGATGACCTAAATTTGACCAACCCACAAGGTTTACAGTAGCCTGTGCCCATACCAGCCCGAGTAGTCCTGGCTTTCAGCTGTTGGAATAGACATCTCATAGCCAACGGCAGCGGGCTCTTCCCAGGGTTTAACCGGCCTGACCGAAGCCAGGGCTGTCTGCAAAGCTTTGGAGGCCCCTGGGCGCTGCACACAGGCACAAAACGACTCTCCCTCGTGTACAAAGTGGTGTCCAGCCTTGCGGTGCTTCCACCTGGTCCCGCTGTGGCCTTCTCAAGCTGCAGTCTTGGGCCCTGACGTGGCGGTGCCTACAGTTTCATCTCAGGATGAGATGAAATTCTGGTCTCTGGGCGTATTTTGGGACTGGGCAGGGAAGGGTTCAAAAGGGATTCGGCCCTGGTGGTTTGTGGGTACCGCATTCGCTGGACCGAAAGGAGCGGGCTGAACTGGGAAGAGCAGGTCTGGTTTCTCAGCAGCGGTGGTGGGTATCCTGCACGTAGGCTTGCCAAAACCTACAGAAGCAAGGCTGAAAAAAACAGGCTGGAGTCAAAATCCAAATATGGCCATCTTCGGTGAGCACTTCAGAAATAGATTTTGAAGTTTTGTACCTTTCTAAAGCTAGTTTTAAAAGAGCATCGCCAGAGCGTGCTGAACTCTTATCGATCAGCGCTTTGAAAACCTGCTTATCTTTTGAGGAGGGCCTTGTGTGCTACATGGGCCTCCTGAAATCATCAAACTGAAGTCAGAGGGGCAAGAATAGTCTGTGCTTGGGGCCTTAGAGTAGCTGGGGGTGTCTGACCCCAATTTTTCTCTGGTCCTTGTCTCTCTGTACGACACATTTCACCCCCACCTCACTACACTGTGCGTGCCCCTTCCTCCTTTTGGCCTCCAGCTGTCAGTTCTTTCTTTACTACTCTTGCTTGAGAGCTCCCCAAGGCTGCTCTTCGCTGTTGCAACTACAGTTTGTCTTTGTTTTGGGTTAATTTATTTTAACTTACTGGGTTCTAGTAATGTTAGCAGGCCTGAGGTTAGGAAGGCAAGAGACTGAATGGAAAATTGCTGGATGTTGCTACAGGAAAACTATCGGTAGTGACGCAGGAGGAGAATAAGGGGGCTTTTGCTCCTTGCTTCTCATGTCTGGATGTTGCCTGCTTTTTTGTGTGCCTGCACACAGAGGTGGAGAAGGTGTCCTGCTGTTCCACGTGCATGCGCGCAGACACCACCTCTCCGTTTGGTGGAGCTGAACTCCAGCTGGGCTGAAAAACAGCTACATAAGCTGGAAAAACTGATTGGAGATTGGCCTGCAACAAACTCTGTCAACACTCCCCTCCCTCCCACTGCCATCGAAACGTCTGTGCTCAGCACTTCTGTAACGAGTGGGATTTCTGGATGGGAATAGCAGGTAGGTAGGTCAAGTCAGCATCTGTGAGCACATACTTGGCTTGACCAAGGACCAAGGCTACCAGTCTGCGTGTCACTTAGTCTGTAATGCCCTTCGGAGAATAACGATGTGACAACGGTTGAAAGTCCCAAGCTACCATGCAAGTTCTGAGATTATCCTTATACTTGCTTGCATATAAGCCTTCAACCTTCTGAAGGCTGCAGAGTAGGAAAGTGGGGCAGGGATTTTTGCTTGTTTCCAACCTAGAGTCTGGCAGGCTTTCTACCAGCTTGCACAGCTAGATATTTTTTTTGCTTGGAAGTCAGTGTAGCTTTATCTGTAAATACCTTGGTCTTTGTTTGGGATAAGTAATAGGTTGATAAACTTGCTAATGTGTGGAAACTGTAATCCATACACAGCGTCACTAGATAAATCGAAATATTATATAAAGAATACTTTGCTCTCGGCTAAGTTTCAAAATCTCCTCTAGAGCTTGCTAAGAGCAACAAATAAAAAGCTGTAGCCTGCTGATCGCACATTTGGGATTTATTTTCTGGGCCAGGATTTCTCTGTTGATCTTGGATACCCAACCTTTTGTCTGCAGAGGCACAAAACAGCCAAAGGCTGCCTTTTCCACTGATCCATCGCTGCTTTCTCAGCAGGTAGGCTGTACCATCTGCTCCCAGAAATATGAAGGAAAAATAAGGTCCAGCCCGCCATCGACCCAAATACATTAAAAAGGGGGAGATGCCATCACCTCTGAGGCAATTGAATTAGGAAGCTTAGCATGTGTAAGAACTAGCGGGTTTAGATGCTTTTCTTGCAGTGATTTTTGAATGAAGTGCTAGGGGTCCTGACATTTCAGAGCAGTGCAGCAGTGATACATGAGCTAATGGTGGTGTTTTCCACACAAGCATATCTGTGCACGGAGCCATCTGTGTTGCAGGAGACTTTATTTTATGTGTCTCTTTATTTTAGTGCCTAAACTCCAGCAGACCCTTCCAGAGAGTCGATTTGCCTCGAATAAAGGCGACTCCGTCTCAGCGTCATCAGAAAAAAATTCAAAAGCTGAACCAAAGGCAGAAGCAGGTGCAAAGGCAAGAAGTTCTTCCAATACACCGACCAGCCCGAAACCTCCGCTGCAGTCGGCAAAGCCTAGCCTGGCAGGACGACCCACAGTGCCACAGAAACCACGCTCTGCCTCTCGTACTGGTGAGGAGCTCTTCTGGGCATCCGTTATCCTCAGCTGGGTGCTTCTGAGTGGTGTTTGTGTGGGCTGTGGAGGAGACACCCATGGCCATATCCTGAACAGAAGTTAGATGTAGAGGGACAGGTTCTTCAGTCCCTTCTTCTTGACTTCCATCCTTCTTTTCCACCTCCTTCTGCCCTGATTCAAATAAAGTTATTAACATGGTTCAATCTGTGATCTGCCGTAGCAGCAGCAGCAGGTTTTGAGTTAGCCTGCTTTCACGGAAGAGGTGAGCATAGAAAGCTGCTTCAGCATCAAAGCCCTGTTGTAGCAGCACTGACATAAAACCCTGTATTTTCTCTAAACACCTGGCTCTAAATGCCAAAGTCCTGGGGGTTTTCTGGCAGGCTGCTCTTAGCCCCTTAAGCAAATGCCTGTTATTTTTCATAATGTGCACAAACTGACTCTCCCTCACTCTCTTTTTCCTTATTTTGCCTTTGTTTCTTTCCTTGTTGCTTTTGACTGGAAACAATTGTGCTTTTATAACCCTTCAGGACTGCCGGTTGAATGACTATTAACTTCTGCTCGGTCCTCACCTCCCGCCCAGATATTGCTTCGAGGTTTCCAATAGCGGGAAATATTTCAGCAGATCTCCCAGACGTTTCTCTGGCTGCTAGTTAATAGGGCAGTGTCACAACCCCCTCTTCCCAAAGCACAGCCACTGCGGTTGAGGGGAATTAAAGGCTAGTTACTGACTGCCCCAGTAGCTATGGCAAATTAATTAATAGCTTATTAATTGCTACTGACTGAAAAATGTGAGCATAGCCTCTGTAAGAGCTTCCAGACTTCTAGGCTTTTCCCATGCTCACTGTTGACCTTAGAAAGATGTCATTTCTGGTGAGGATGAGGGGGCAGAGGGATATTACAGCCTCCTCCCTGCCTTTGATGTGTAATTACTTAGTCTCTGCACTCCGGTGGGTACAGAATCACCTTCAGGTTTTAGATGGCTTTAAATTTCTTTTAATGGCCATTTTAGAAATGGTCGTAAAAGTGAGAGGTGTCGGGTAAGATGCTCACGAAGCTGAATACAACAGGAAAGCGTGGCTTATTTGGTGATGCTTAATCTCTAAAGTAGGCAGTGTGTTATCTCAAAATCTTGGGTATCAGGAAGACCTGAGCTGTCTGTTTCTGCCAGCTCCTGTTTCATGCAGAGAGAGCATACTGTGGGTTTAACGCAGAGAGTAATTAGTATTTACTCGCCAGCTCCTCGGGTGACAGTAAAGGCAGCGCTGTCTGTTGCAGTCTAACTTCTATCCTAGTACTTGTAGGAACCTGCACACCCAGGCAACGTGGTGAAGCAGCCAAGCAATAATCCCACTTACCCTCTTGCTCCCGCCGTCGTTTCCAGTGGTGTGGCCAAAGTAACGGTAGCAAATTTTTGCTAAGTAATCTGAGGGCAAAGGAACGCAGCTTGGATGTCCACAAATCAGCAAAGACTGAAACTGGCTCCTCAATAAAGCACGGAACAGCTTTAGTTCAGAAATACATGGCTGTGTTTGCCAAGCACTGTGCTCATCCGTATGTTGGTACCAAGCTTCCCAAAGCAACTGGCCTCACAGGCACATCAAAAGCCTGGAGGAGGTCCAAGAACTGGTTTATCTGTTCAGATCAAGTTGCATTTGGAAGGTCATCGCTTTCTGCTGCTGGAAGTAGAAGGATTGACTCCTTTGAGGTGGCTCCTCAGTAGCGAGATAAATTCCTATTAATTTCCAGCACGCAGCTGAATTAACTCATTGTACAAATCTGCAGTACAGGTGACGCTCCGAGTTCCTCTCTCCTTCTGTCAGTACTGGTGTGTCTTCCTAGTTCCTCTGTTGTGTACATAGGCCGCTCTTTACTCCTTGGGGAGCAAACACACAAGCAGTTTAAGTGCTCTGTTGTAGCTGTTCTTCCCTGCTGCACAAACGCAGGCTGTCTAGTGCAAGACTGAAAAGGGTTCCCTGTGAGGACTGTAAAGGTGGTCGTCAGCTTGCTCCGTGTAACGCACATCCAGCCTCTTAGAGGAACAAGATACCCAGGTGGTTTAAACTGTGGGTTTGAATTGAAGTTCCAGATTTCCTCACAGTCTAGAAGACAAAGTGGGTTTTCTATTTGGAAAGTCTTCGCAGGTGCTATCGTATTGTATACCGGCAATTTATTCCTGGAAGCAGAGAGTTCTGTAGGCCATTTGTGAAATTTGTTTCCCTGGTTCACTTTCGTGCCTTACAGCTGGGAAACAGGACATCTCAGTCGACCGGTTCATTGTGTTGCAGGACAACAAAAACATAAATAGAACAAATATTTGCAAAAATACATCCAAAATGATTTTCAGCTGTTCGTTACAAATCGCATACTTGTGCCTTGCAGGAAATACAGTTGGTCCCAGCGGATTTCTGTTAGTGCTACAAGAGCAGTGCACATTAGAAGTGCTAAAATTAAGATCCTTGCTTCAGCTATTAAAATTCTTTCACCTGGACTGAGGGCCATCGTGCCTTCTCTTGACATAGCGGAGATCCCTGCTTCCCTCTTTCTCTGACACAGATTCAAGTTGTTTCTTGTTCGTGTGTTGTGTCGAGGTTTGGCCCATCGGCTTCGGTGAGCTACAGCACCAATGTAACTTCTCACCCTTTTGTTCATGGTACTCCACAGAGGATGCTCCGGAGTCTCCCTCCGGCCCCAGTTCCCCAAAAGTTGCCCTGCTTCCACCTGTGCTGAAGAAAGTTCCTTCTGATAAAGAAAAGGATGGTCAGAGCAGCCCCTCAGTCAGATCACTGTCTCAAGAAGGTAGGAGTGTTGTTCCAGCATGCTTGTCTCCCGCTAGAACTTGGGTCTGTCATTGTCCCCTGATTTGTTTTCATTTGGAAGGGAAGAGGGTTATTGATTTGGAGGAAAAAAAAGAGCGAGGGAAGTGTGCCTGGTCGCTCCTCATCACCTCCGCTCCTGGGTTGGTGCTCTGTATTTTCTTCCTTCGATCAAACCAAGTGAAAGATGAATCCCTTGGTATTAGTCACGTGGCTGAACAATTAAGGGACTCTCGTGCTGTGCGTGTTATGGTTTAGTTCGGTCTGAATCGAGGTGCCGGTTGGTATCGGTCCCACACAGCCACGGGAAGTGCAGCTCTCTGGATCAGCCCGTTTCCAGGGGAGCAGCCACGACTTCGTTCCTTGCAGCCAGCCTGTCGCTCTCTTTGTGCTCCTCCTTTCCGTGGGCTCACTGCATGGGATTGAGTTCTCCTCCTCCTCGGGCAGTGAGTCTCTGTGCCAGGGCAGGGCTCGGTACCTTTTGCGCCCAGCAGTGGGCTGCTGCCGTGTCTTTGCTGCTCTGTGGGCGCTGATTTCTACTTTTGCTGATGCATTTCCTTGCCCGCAGTTGGCTCTCGGGTGAGCTAAGGCTTCCTCTGATGGCGTAGGACGTGTGGAGAAGTAGTCACAGCGGGGTGTTAGCTGGCCCAAATGACAGCGTTTGAAATCAGGGGGGGGAGACCTCTTCCTTCCCGGGGCTCTCCTCAAGAAAGGCACCCAAAGAAATTCCCGTCACTCAGGCTGTGAGGCAAAGGGGTTCCCTCTCACACTCTGCCAGCAGTTTTTCGTAGTGTAGGACGGGGGCAGACAAGTCAAGGGAGGTACGCAGCGCTGGGTTGTGAAGACGTGGTTAACCTCACCGTTGCTGGGCTACGTGCCCTCTCCATCTCCCGGTCATGGGAGGGGACAGATTGGAGAAGCAGGGAATGTGGGATCCTGACAACAACCCGTTGGCGTTACAGCAGCCCCGAACCCAGCAGAGGTTTGACAAGGTTGTGCAGTTTGTGTTGTCACGTGAGAATAAACGCGAAAATAAACACATTTATTTTTAAAATGGGTTTGCTGTGTGCAAACCCTCACGCAAAAGGGGTCAGACACTGTCCTTTCCTCACTCGGTGCTCCCTTAAGCAGACCTCCACAGACAGCTTGGCCAAACACGGGGTCTTCTAGTTGCCACCGCGTTGCGCTGTACTAATTTATCAATAATAGTTTAGAACGGCCAAAATTGGGTTTCCAGGTCCCTAAAGAGCTGCTATGCTTTGCCTAAAACTTTTTGGGAA